TCAATTTTCCAGAGATAATATCTAGTATAAGAAATTAAAATGCAGAAAAACATTATGCAATGTTAAGTAATTAAAATACGGTTATTTCAAGTAAGGAGTTTTTAAGTCCTAAATTCACTCTTAAAGCGCGCTATAAGACTCATTCCTCACCATTTAGTTTTTGTGCTATTTTAGGAATAGAACACTGACGAACTTCCAGCTTCTGGTTTCGAACATTTTTGCTATCTTCCGAGTCCTTGGTTCCTTAAAAAAACGCATAATATTTATTTACATTTTATAGAGGATTTTTGAGAATGCCAAAAGCCATCTGATATACTTGTTATACACTTTAACTTGTGCACGGTTATAAAAACTCATACCACTTCAGGAGTTAAATTTTTGCTCCCGACAGGCTATTCATTTAAGAGGTAATGTGCTAAACTTATCATTAAAAAGTTAACTTCTGTAATGCACAAATTCTAGAAAATGAATTGCTATTCGAAATATTAACGCATAAGAAATCGAACAGAATGAAATATGAGTTAGAAGTTGAAACGTTAAACTTTGATATGAGTCAAGCGATGGGCACAGATGTTGTTAAAGATGTCGCGTCGAACGAAAATCAAACTTACACATTTTCGTCGATTAATCAAGTTCCATTTTTACTAAAATTGTAGAAAATGTTAACGAATACTTCCCTTAATACATTTTAAGTTGACCAGACGCACTTTTCTCAAATATGTGGACTAGTGGATCAAAAATATAGGTCTTAAAGATTCTTTTTTGTGTTTCATATGTATTCGTAAATTAAGATTTTTTTACCAGGTAAAAGATAAATGGCTCACAATTGGCCAAGCAATAAAACCCCTAAACACGTGTAATTTGAGGGGTAATTAACACGTGTAATTTGAGGTTTTTATTTGGGCGAACAGAATGAGTGTTTTCATGTTTTTTTTAGTGTGTAACTTGAATACGGTGTAGGTTTCCTTAAAATGTCCTCCATGAAGGCATTTCTTAGCCAAAATATCTCATGCGTGTTTTGCTTAATCTGAATAATTCAATCTTGGAAAATGTAGACAAAGTTAAACTTTATCTATTTCATTGTGTTTCCAAGAGTGTTTTAGTTATTCTAAAGAAGCTGTGAAGTTTTTTTTTTTTTTTTTTTTTTTTTTTTTTTTTTTTTTTTTTTTTTTTTTTTTTTGAGACATTAACTAGTAAGCATTTTGAAATCAAATATTCCATTTAAAAGGATGCAGAAAAATCATTTTTTTTCTTTCGTTTATTCATAGTATTCGATGCTATCCAGAATGTCATACTTTCTCTAAATCTGAAGTTGACTTAGATTATTAAATTACAACTTATTAGAACTACTTTTATATCACTAATCGATGTCTCATTAATATAATTAATATCTGTTCATTAATATCTGCTCGATGTATGATTAGAGAACATTTAATAATATTTTCATAATTATGCTTGCGTAACAATAATTCAATGTTGTTAATTATTAAGCCCAACAAATAAAATTTATAACAATTCGGTGTTCATTTTATTATCATTATTTTAATTTTAACATCTGCCTTCAGGTTCTGACATAAATCGTGGGAGTTCCACTTTGATAAGAATTTCTAAATTAAGTTTTGCCAAAGAGAGCTGTAGTTTATTACTAAACAGAAAAGCTTGTGACAGCATCTGAAGGCTGTTTTCAAATGCAGATGGCGTGTAAAATGCAAAGCTTGCATTTCTACCAGCTCATTATCATAAATCTTTTATCGCGCTTTATTTTCGGCTCACTATATGCTTTAATTAAGTAATTCCAAATGCCATGTATTACTTCAGTTAACAATGCATCTTCAGAATAACTGTTAATTTATTTTTTTCTCTTGAGTAAAATTAGTTATCGTTGAAAGCAAACCCATAATTGCTCTTCAGAGCTTTTTAAATTGTAAATTTGTTTTTAATTCTCTAGTACTCTTCTCTCTGATTCACTATTGCTGAATCCACTCTAATGACTGTACCTTTCATAAGGCATTTTGAATTCAGTATCAAGTATTTCGGTATATGATAGCTTAAAAGAGGAATGTAATAAAAGAATAAGCTCTTCATATATGAAAATTAAATTTTCAAATAATGTTTTACTTCCAACTAAAAGCATTATTCAAAAAGACCTTTACTTTTAAATGTGCAAAAAATACATGTAACTTCTCTTAGACTAATGTTTGCAGGTTGTTTTGTTGTTTTTGTATTTACCCAAAAAGCTTTTTTTTTTTTTTTTTTTTTTTTTTTTTTTTTTTTTTTTTTCCAAAAAGTTTGCGAATTCCTCGATTAGCAGAGAACTTCGAGATTCTATTTCGTTAATCTCTTTAAATTTACAAAATAAGGCAGGAAAACTCTTGCTAAAATAGAAGCAGAAAATGGCAATTTTACTGTCATAATAATTATTATATTCATTCAAAATTTTAGTTTTATTGAAAAATAATAGTATTTATTTCAATTTTTTTACCCTTTAGTAAACAGCACTTAAAAAAACGATTTCTGGAAATGAATAGTGCAATTTCATGAGAGCTTTGTAAAGTATGTATCATGAAAAATGAATTAAAAGTGTTTTTATGTAATTCAGCTACTCGAAAACATTATGTGCATTCTGTGACATAAACATCTACGTATAGCACATGAAGACACACATTTGTAACTCTCTTGAGGTCAATGTCTGGTGCAGCCTGATGAGTAAAATGGTTTTAGTCGAAACTGTTATCAGCTGTATAGCATAAACTGAAAAGTAGTACATATCTTTCTTTTTTTTAATCGAGCAACCAAAACTGCCATTGTAACGAATCTTCTTTTACAAAGATGGAGCACGGTAACATTCTACGAATCATGTATAACACAGCTGAAATCTCGATTACCAGAACAGTGAAATTTAATTTCTAATCTTATGACTGTTAAGGAATTCTGATCTTACCTTGCTAGAGCTCTTTCTCTGGAACTTTATATTAAATAAGGTTTACAAAGAAAGAATTAATGATTTTTATTACCCAAGAAGAGAATTATAAAAGCAACTGCAAGCTTTGCACCAAACTTCCAAAATATTAAAATATATTTTTTTTCATAATTGGTGAAAAATCAAAATAACATTATATTCGTTAAGATATGTTTTGATCATAATAAACTTGATTATTATTAAACTGAATATTGTCTGCGATACTTCTGCAAAAGAATATTAAAATCTAGCAGATCTCTTCAGTAAATATTCAAAAGCAAATCTGGGTGACCTGAAAAAGAACGAGTAATATTTCTCTGCAAATGCTAATTCATCACTTTGAAATTCAACTTTATTCGCTTATTTTAGAATCCTGTGTGTAAACTCTGCTACCGTTTTTAGAAAACAATGTTACTTTTCTTTTTTCGATCAGAAATACATCAAGGCTTTTTAAGAATAAGATTTTTTTACAATTTTTAAAGGAATCTGAGTAGAAGAGAATTGCATTATGCTTGAACTCTTTTTTGAATTCCACAATAAAGTAAAACAATGGATTTTAGAATCCACAATGTTGTGCATCCACACACGTCGTACGGTCCCCTTTAGAACACCGAAAAACGTGTTTTTTTAAATCCGTTTCTTCCAAAAGATGATTGATTTAATATGTTCTGTTGCAGAGAAGAAAATGCTTGTAATAATTCAGGTGAAAAGTTTTCACAGTGCAAAATGGAAACTGTACTTTCAAAGAATCAGCTATTTGATGTAGAATGTGGCATTTTATTTTTTGGATGAAGTTGAAAATGTGGATATCATTTTCCTAAACACTCTTAAAGCCTTCAAAAAGTCTCTTCTTCTATTTTTTATATTTTTTTGTAATTAAATACGGCGAGACTCTATAAGGATCAGCTGTGGTGAAAGTCCATCCGATATACAAAAAATCCAGATAATTTGGCAGATTTTTAACTCTATGGAATACTTACGTAAATCACCCAAGTAAAATAATTTTTTACGTTAATGGTTATTTTATATCAACAATGATTCAACTAAAAAACCGCCTTTATTTCTATAACACAAAATGGAAAAAAAGCTTTTCTCAAGAAAATTCTAAAATCTAGTTACCTTATTATTTTTTAACGTATAACATAGTTCTACTTCAACTGAAATTAACTTTTATTGGCATAGGCCTTGAAACCGAGGCGAAAACATTAAGCTCCTAAATAGTGCGTAACTGTTTTTCAATAAAGATTGCTAGATTGTTATTTGCCGAATCCATATATATGTTGCCTTATATATTATTCTAAATAAATGTAATAATTGTTTGAAATTGCTACTGTGCTGTATTTTAGTTTAAGATTATTTAAATTAACAGAACAATTAGTAACGGGAGTAAATTAGCAATATTCTTAATTTGTTTCTCTCTTAAAGAACAGTTGGTTAAAATTCTCCCAAATTATCTGGAGAGAGATATCTTTTGAGAGAATTTCCTGAGGAAAACGAGCGCATACTCAGGTTGCACTCGAGAATATGGAGTTTTCTTCTCATGTTATGCAAAGTTAACTGGCTTTCTCTATGAAGACATCCTACCAAAGAACGTTAGCCCTTGTTTACATTGTTAAAATCAAATAGTGATCTTAATAAAAATGTGCATTCCGTTCTATTCCTTTTTCAGTTATTTCTAATTCTGATAGTGTGAAATAGAGATAGTTGACAGTATGTCCTTTAACAGTTTACCGAAAGCTACGACTTGGATACCTTCAATACTGTCATTCATAAAATATTTTGATATTATACAGTAGCCACAATATTTCCTGTTTACCCCATTTTAATGTTTCCTGAACTTCAGTACCGAAGATTACAGTAAAAGTTCCATTCTGCTTTTACATTTAATGTTAGAGTTTTCGTGTTCATTATATTATTATATTCATAGGAACTTTCGATAATTATCCGAATTTGCCAAAGAGTTTTCTTCAGTTCATTTTTTCTGCAAAACTTTTGTTTTAGATTACAATCTTGTCTCATATATTTTTTTTTTCCTTTTCAGCAACAACTCTTTTCCGGAAAATAAGTAAACAACTCCTATCTTACTTTGGTGACCAAATAATCATGCTGAAAGGTCCAATATTCCAAATGGAAAAAGAATACGTAATCATGGTAAAATATATCCCCCTTTTCTTCATATATCCTTAATAAAAGTAGAAACTCAATTATAAGTATATAATCCTCTTTTTTTTGCAAGACAAATGTTAGTCTTGCACTCGACAATCTGTACAAATGATGAAATTTAGAATTACTGAATAGTATTTCTCAACATTCGATGACTATCAAGATTTGGTGGATTTTGATACTGCAAGTTAATGGACAAGCGTGGCCTGCATATATCAAAGATGGAATTTTCGTACTGTAATGTAAGAAATATCATATAATTGTTAATATTTTCCTCCCTATTCATACAAATTTTAAGTGTGGATGTCATAAGTATATTATAAACGTTTTAAAAGATTTTTATAGTTGTGCGTATGTTGACCTTCCTTACAGTGGATTCAATGTTGTGTGCATTTAACGTTTAATTAAGGCAGAACTGGACTTGACTTAGGAATAAAGGAGCTATGTAAAAGCTAATATATAATGCACAAAATATGCGTATTTTTGGTATATAAAATGAAATAGATTAAGAAAGACGGTGAAAAGTTGTTTATCGCACTAGCACTCGTGCCTAGATATATTTTCTATGTAAATAAATATTTGCTAATGTTAATTAAGAAATATTTTAAAGTACTGAGTATCAGCAAAATAATATAAGGAAACCTAAACATTCTGAAACAAAGTATGCATCAATTGTAATCTGCATTATATTCTTCTGTACCTCTATCTTAGGGAATGTATGATTATTACCCATAATATCTTATTTTAATAGTATCTTAGATGATATATGTAAAACAGTTTTTCTTCAAAGAATACAGTTGATGATTTCATTTTGGAAGCCAATAATCGCTGCAAATGATAAGTAAACTGAAAATCGTTTCAATCTGAAATTATCCGCGAATCAGATAATTACTTTTTAACCTATAAGTATTTTATTAATAATTATTCCATTACAATTGGAATTTTTCCTTTATTTTTCAATCTCTTCTTCTTTTATCATCTACACTGAACTAGTATTATGAAAGCAAAGCTGCATATAATTAGTATTTTCATATCCTCTTCTAAGAACTAGCTGAAAAACACTTTCATAAATGATTTATAGCATAAACTTTATAATTAGTATATTAATTAGTATAAATAATAAATAACTTTGTAAATTTTATCAGTAATGAAATTCCGAAAGAAACGCACGTAAGCATTTCTCCCGGAATAAATATATTTTTCTTATACTGAATTGGGAACAGTAGCTTGATCAAGTACTAGAAACATGTCGCGATAAAAAATAATATCAGTTTGTACAAGTATCACACACGTTTTTTATTTATTAACTTACTTGTTTGTTGATTATTATTTTTGTTACTATTATTATTATTAATTTTATGATTATTGTTAATTTTTTTATTATTATTAAAGATAATGAACTGATGTAAGCAATCCTTTTACAAAGCGTTTCACCCAACAGTATAATTTACCCTGATTTTCTTTAAAAACTTTTGTTGTCATAAGTACAAATCCCTTTTTTTATACAAGATAATAAAAATGTATAAATCGTTTTGTTATCACCGCACAGCGTTTATTTCTCCGCCTCATCTGACTGCACTTTCAGACAGTCTTCTTTTGTATGCTTTTTATGAAGCGAAACACGCTAAATGGAAATGAAGTGGGGAAAATAATTAAGCGAGACGTCTTTTTTCTGCAGCTGTTGTTTCCATGGTTAGGAGTCAATTCGAGCGGAGTAAATTAACCTTGAATTAATTATTTTAAAATAACAGATCATAGTAAGTACATCTTATAATTATATGCGGAAGTCTGATGTAAACAGTAAAAAGGTAACACATTTTTTATTAATCTTTTACTTGTGAATTTATAAAACATAAGCTTTTGTTTAGGGTAAATGTTATATATGGCTGACATTTTTATTTATTTTTATTTTTATTTTATCAGTTATCAACTGAAAAGATTTTCTTGAACACATTTCTAAAGGAATTTCTGTCATTTTCTCCCCACAACCCGCAATTGTATCCACTATAAAATCTTTATAATAAAGAAAAACTTTATAATAAACATAAATTTGAAAATCTAGTTACCTATTATTAAAAAAGTATGTTCATTTTGAACATTTATGGTTAATAATGTATGCTATGTGAAAACAATTAAATGTCAGAACCGTTCTTGAAAGCGTCTTCATTGAATTGGGAACAGTAGACGTTTATAACGTTTCAGACTTTCGCCAACATTTTAGCGGAAAACGACAGACAAAATCTGCGAATCATTTTAAAATTCTATCTTCTCGTTTTGTTGTTCCTTTTTGGTTTCAGTGCATGAAAGTGTCTAGCACTGACAGAATTTTGGTAGTGTTTTAGCATATAATGCATAACAGTTTTATTAATACTTACCTGGGAAGATACTTTTCTTGAAGACTTTTCGTTTCAACAGACAAAGAAATTATCAGTCGTTTAAGCTTCTCAGCAATTTCTTTGATTTAATTTACAAAAGCCATGAACACCTATATTTAATCATCAGCAATAAATATTGTTGTTCTAATATAATTAGTATACAGATCGTGTACAAAACTGCAGAACTAAGGTCATAGAAGGATTCTGTTTGTTGAAATTTTGGTAATGAATCTGGTTCAATCTCCTGTTTATTTCCGAGATATGAAGTCACCTAAATTTGGGTAACAATAGAAATAAAATGTCTATTTCCGAGATATGAAGTCACCTAAATTTGGGTAACAATGGAAATAAAATGTCATGCTAGTAAAAATGTCACAAGAATTAAGATGATTACATTAAGGAAGACAGTAAATAATCAGATACCAGGGAAACAATCATTATTTGGAGTATTATGAACACTAGAATCATCAGTTGAAGAAATGCTTTTAGATTAATTGAGAGATTGAATAGTTAAGCTTTCGAAGGACAAAATAACAGAGTACTTTCCTTATTTCTGTAAAACTGAATAATCTTTCTTCTAATCTACAAAGTCAGTTAAAAAAGTGTTTTCTTTGAATTTTACATATTATATTTGTGTCTTGAAGAAAAGTACCGTCTAGAAAAAATATGTCATAAAATATATTTTACGAATTTATTTTTTTTTTCATAAATTTGCATTTTATCTTAATGTTTAATTGGTTTCATATTTTCAAGTATATCTCTAACTGCAACAATATATAAAATAAATCTCTGGAAGCAAATGTTTAACATTTAAATTGTTCAATTTACTCATGAAACTGGTATATATGAATTTGGGGGCGGGTATAAGGTTGCATTTGAAGAACATTTTAATGTTAAATAATTCTCTATGTGAAATACAGGCATTCCTTATAATATGAAGATATTAGATTCCTTAGAATCAGAGATTAATTGAACTCAGTTATCCAAACCAAAAATCTAGTACAGCAATCAGAGAATGTAAAATGTGAGGAGGAAAACTCTACGATTTTCATTTTTCAACTAATACAAATATGTTTATTGAAACAATAAATTATTGAAAGTACTCGATATTAATATTAAATTAGATACTAATACGTTCTTGTTATCATTACTAATCACCACTGGATAAGGGCATTTTCATTTGGGGAAATATCCTCAACTGTGAAATTGTCTTACGTACACTTATACGTCTGTGTTCTGTGTTTTGCAACAGATCTCTTATTTTTCTCGGATAAATATAATTAAAATTATTATTTACATTTACCCGAGTAACTTCTATCAGTTTAATTGCATAAGACGAAACACGTGCCAGATTTTGTTCTTTTTCTCGAAGAATCTTCGCTCAGTAAATATAACTCCAATTGTTTAGACATTAGTTATTAATTAATTAGTTACACTTTCTTTTAAATTTTTCTAGTCCTTTTAATTTTTCCCTTACAGTAATTTCTCTTAATTATGATGTCATAAGTACTCAAAAATGGCAATATGGTCAGTTTGTGCTCAATTCTTGTCATGGTCCGTTACTTAAAAATAGTCACTTTAAGATGGAAGAGATCTTACCTTCTTTTACAATCGTGTTACGTGTCGTCATCACTTCACAGAGGGAACTAGGAAATTTTAGCAAATTAGATGATTCGACCTCTTTTCCGAGGTACTTTCCGCGGTTTTGAGGCATTGTTTGGGGGGGGGAGAATGGCCTTGCATTGCTTATTCTAAAGTAAAAGACTATAGAGAGAAACATTCTTACAGAATGTTGTTTTATAGGAGAAATCTCTTTAATTCTCGAATCATATTAGACAGAAACCGTGTTGTAGGAATGACATATTGTGCAAGATTTTCTTGCCCTTTTACGCATGACTACAAGTTCAATAAATTGTACTTCAACATTATACCATATCACCAGTTTCCGATTTCAAAACATGAAATGATATTACATGTGGGAAAATCTGAAAATATTTTATTTCTACATAAATAATCTAGTCGTTTAATGACGTTTTTGTTTTAAAAATTAGTTATTTTAACTTTAAGTTAACTGCTGTTAAAACAAATGCGTTTTTCAGTTGGTGAATCTAATAAGTTGCAATAATAAACTTTATTCAAGTGGTTCTTGGACTTCTTTAATGACCCTATAGTCTTGATCGCGGTTTTTCTCCCGTTCCTGTGCCTTGAATTTTATACCAAGCTGAAAACCAGGAGGTATTGGGTTTGTAAATCAAACTTATAGGGCCTTAAATCAATAATATCAGTACAAAATTCTTCAGACTGACAAATGAATTACTGTTTCGTCTAAAATTGCTTTTTTATTTAAGCTTGATCTGAACAGAAAAAGCACTTCAATTTCCGCCACTTGTAGACATTTAAAATAACATAATGAGTTTATATTTTTTTAAACAGCCACAAATCCGTAATATCCACAAGTTGAATACCACATAAATAACTCTTAAGTTGAATTTACAATTTGAAAAGATCATAGCCGAAGACTGTACAAATTAGGTGTCACTAAGATGGCTCAAAATTTTAACTTCGGCTAGCAAATGGCTAATATCAGAATATTAACAGCCAGAATTGACCAATAGTTAGTAAAGTTGATACAAGCGTTGATGCCCTAAGCTGTATATCTAAAATATTCAAACTCCTCACGATAACTACTCTTCAGTCTCATTTGCATCCTGGTAAGGCCTACTGGAAAAGAGAAGTTATAACAAAAAATCAAATCATAAAAATTGGTTAATTAACATAAAATACCTTATAAGATGAGGCTTGATTGCTAAAATTCCAACAAACACGATCATAGTCTTGAGTTTATGAAAAATAAATGCATATCTTAAAGAAATACATCAAGAATAACAGCAATTTCGTCGAAACCGTTAAGTATCTAAACT